ATATATCATACTTGAATAAAAATGTTTCCGAAAAAAGAGACTTTAGAAACATATCGACTAAATGCGATGTGTGGACCTTGTCTGGATCTTGCTTCACACAAGCCAACTGTTAAAAAGAATTTGTGAGACAGTTGGGAGAACTTGAACACTGACTACATATTTCATGATAATTAAAGGATTGTCAGTTTTTTAGGTATCGTGATGATATTATGGCAATGTTTTCAAAAAGAGCTCTTACCTTTTAGGGATACATATTAAAGTGTAAATACATATATTATAAATAAAATAATATCTTGGATTTGCTTCAAAACAATCGGAAGTGAGAGGACGGAGAAAACGAGACTAGATGAGCTGCTGGCTCACTGCAGCCGCATGGCGGGCACATGGGAATCACCGTACTGTCCCTGCACCGTTGAGTACGTTTAAAACCCTGCATAATGAAACCTTTTTAAAGCTAGAGCAAAACCTAAGTTTTATGTTTTTTAGCTGTTTATGACTCCTCTCTTCTACCCCTCCTAACAACGGAAACCATAACACTGAACGCTTAGGCTCCACATCCCTTGAGAAGTCATCTTGGCCATTCCTCCGTTATCGAGCCCAGTATCTGAAACAAGGGCAACCCACACCACATCTGCACACTGATCAGCACAGGAGACAAAGTGTGCCTCCTCTCAGAGCAGTTAAAAAAGAAACATGTCCTAGGGACCTGGATGTGGCAGAGCAATCATTTACCCATATTCTCTGGGGTATATGCCAATGTGAGGACGCTAAGCAGCTTGGCTGCCTCTAGTAGACTCTTAATGGAAGCTCCTAGAGCCCCCTTGAACTGACCCTTCCTGTGTTATCCCCGGACATTAAGCTTATACTATCTAGCATCATCTTAGCTATCTGTGGCTTCCCTTGCCAGGTGACCTGGCTGGAGCTGCTACTGGTATGAATGTCAAGTATGAATTCCTATATAAATTAAGTCTGCCTTTTTCTTATTCCAAGACCCTAGGCTAATATGGGCTTACGCAGTTTAGAAACCCTCATTAGACAGATATAAGTGGTTGCAAAACAACCTGGCCAGGGCCTCCCGACTTACTATGTCTCCCACGAAGGTTTCCAGGTTTGAGCTTTCCTAGTTCACAGGGAAAGAAAATTCATTCATTCCTTCTGGCTCTCATTCACCATTTCAAGACATAACTTGTAATCTCCAGGTTACATCTAGCTCAGTGTTATCTCTTTAAGGCAAAATGCTGCATTTCAGCAAGGATTTCTTGGAGAAAAGGACTATATCTTTGATAAGGAGCTTTCAGGCACTCCCTGTGGTAGCCTCTAGAGGAAGAAAAACTTTTTACTGTCCTGCATGGACTCACTTATCTACTACTAATTAGGCTGATGAAGCAATGAGGGCTTCAAAAGTGAGGGCCCAAGATTTCACATACACACAAAAAAAGACAAAGTTCAAAAACAATGCCTGGTGAGGGTTCGTTCATAGTATTACTTTATTGTTACGAAAGTCCCGTCATGGACATGCGCCACTGCCAGAAACAAAAGGTAAGAATGGAGCTTGGAAACGAAAGGAAAAGAACAGTGTTGTTGAAACTCTGTGGCTAAACCTCCCAACACATCTATGTCTATCTATTTCCTTAATATTTGTCAATAATTTGGGGATAGAGACAAAGATATGCTGAGATAAGGGGTCAGAGGTATAGTGGGAAAGCAGACCTCCCTATATTTCAGAAATATATACAGGAAGACTGCTCTTAGGTGTGAAGATACAAACCCCGTTAGTAGTAAAGGAACCGGCAAATCTCTAAAACTGTCAGTCCTGATTTAGCCAAGCTTGGCTCCGCAAGCCACAGAAGGAAGCTAAGAGCCACTGTTTGCTCTTTTGCTGTGAATGACTGGCACTTGGCTCATGCAACCAACTTTGTTTTTAATTTAGGCTATTATAATGTTTCACATTTGCATACACATTTAGTATTATTTAGTAAAGAGCATAATTTTAAAATGAAAATAATGAACTGAAAAAACCCAAGAATCCTCTCAACAGTTTTTTAAACTTTTTGAATAGTTACCTACTATAGTCTTGCAAATTTTTCAAAGTCTAGCCATTAGACCATTTCTTCTACATAGGCTATGTATACATATTCAGAAAACATTTTCTCATAACGATTTGAATTTGTCAAGAATCACAGTTGTGTTTTACCATTGTTACTTATGATTTATCACAATGCCGGGAGGATGAATGGCATATCTGACACTGAGAATAAGGAGGACTGCCCAAAGGGCCTGTTATCTGCTATGCAGGGACTCCAGGGGCTATTAATTATTTATCTACTTTTCAAAGTTAATAAATAGAAATGTCTTTTGCCCTTTATTCCCCAGATGAATTTAACCAAATGAGATGGGGTGTTTATATGCAGTTAGCTGTCTGAGGACACAGGAGGTGCAAGTAATGGAAAGCAGGAGATTTTTTAAAAACAAATATATTTTAATGTCAATTAATTATTCACATCACTGTTTTATCTGGTATGTTTCTTATTATGATTAAATTCTCATGAATATTTCGATGATTTTTGAGTGTACTCAAACGTGAGTGCTTTAAAAACGTAAGATTTATTCATACAAAAAAAGCAAAATTCAAATAACATGTCGACACTTAAAATATATATAGTTAGAAAATGCAAACACCGAGGAAGAGTATCACATATACTACACTTGATCTTAGCCAAAAGGCCAAGGAGTGATGGAGAAAAGTATCAAATAGGAAAAATAAGAACCTCCCTCTTCACCACTGCGGTCCTTCTGCTCAAAAGCAGATCACTCTTTATGCGTTTTTGTCCTACCAGAGAAAAATGTATGCATATCTATTGATTTATTTACCAAATATTATGCACGCTGTTTTGTTACGTGCATTTTCCACTTAATAACACATCTTGATACTACTCCGTATCAGCACACGGTGGTGACCACATTCTGTTTGCTCTTACACACAGTGCTTCGATGAATATCTTTGTGCACATAGCTGAGGGTTACATTTATTTACTTTTTCAGTGTGACCTACCATCAAAGTCAGTGCAGCAAGCACAAGCTACTCCGAGCAGTCTATCCCAGCTGTGTGATGAGAAAAAGAACAATCTAGTTTCCTTGGTTTATTTCAGTTCCTTCAGAATATTTCCTGAGACACTGTGATTTATGCCAAATGGGTCCCAGGAACAGCATGGGATGGCTACTGAGAAAAGGACCGTTTTCAGGTGAGAGGAGGAAAATATCTCTACCTGTTCACTTCTGAGCGTAGAGGCTCCTGTGGCAACACAGGAGTCCTGCCTGCACTTCGATCCACCTGGTGAACACTCCTACCCCGCTTATAGGAGTGTACTGAATGCTCATGGCATGAAAGGAATGTTTGCAGAAGAGGGGAAATAAGCAACCACTGGAGAGACATGCATGGAACAGCAGGTGAAACTGCCCTTCACCCTATTACACAGGTATTGGTAACTCCCCGCTCGTGGAAGACCAATATGAAGCACAATGTTCAGAGCTGTCTGCCTAGAGAGACACAGGAACACAGTTCAGTGACAGAGTTGGGGTCAAAAAATGACTACGGAGTCCACAGCTCAGAAATAATAATAAAAAAACTGTCTTATATCCTTGCACTTAGTTGCCTCAAATCCTTTTTGAAATGATGGAGGATTTAAATTACATTTTGAAATCTTTCAACATAGTATTTTTCAAATATTTGTTATCTCCTCTGACTCACATATCAATTCTATGAGGCAGGTAGGTCGGTGTCATTATCCCCACTTAAAAGATGAAATGACTGCGGGCAGCAAAGTTAAATGATCTGCCCAAGGTCAACAGGCTAAGTAACCTGACTTCCAGAACTGTATTCTTTCCTGAATTCTCCCAAGCCCACCTTGCCAGTTTTAGAACCCCAAAGAAAAGCCAAGAATGAAGCTAGAAGTGTAAACATAAATCTCTCTCTCCCTAGGGATACCTGGGATCCTGAAAACTACCTCTTCCTAACAGAAATTTAATAAATTGAATAATGTTGCTGTTGCTAAGTACCAGGTCGAAATACCACACTTGAACCTTGACAGAAGTTTTACAAACACTTCTGTGAAAATTTGGTTTTAAGTTTTACTATAAACACCCATACTGTCTTAGCTTTTTTTAATCTAGTAGCTCCTAAATTTTACAATTAAGACACTGTCTTGAACAGTACTAATGATTTGTCATTTAGATATCTAACACCTACGTCTTGAGTTGCCTTTTTGTCAGTCAGGACTGTCTAAATGAGTACCTTTCAAACTTTTTTGAGAATGGCCAAAGGAAGAAATATATTTCACATTGTAAAGCATAGATATGTATCTGTCACTGACACAAAACTTTCACAATAATTACTTGGTGATTTACTTGGAGATTATCTGTTTTTTCATCTTTTCACATTATTTTTTGAAATAATAATTATAGACCAGTCCATTGATTTCGTGACTCACAAATGGGTCACGACTCACAATCTGAAAATACTGGTTTAGATGAACAATACACAGATCCTGCCTCAGAGAAGTATACACTAGCTGGATGTCTCATATGTACACCATTCACAGACATCTTACAGTTGGAAAATCCTCAGAGGTCAATTCGTTCAACTATCTGCACTGTAACTGATTTTCCAACATCCCTGATAGAGGGCAACATACCTGAAAGCATTTGCTGACTGTCTCTAGGACAAGAAATCACATCTTGCTGGGAACCTAGCACAGGCTCGGTCATAGAAAAGACCTGTTAAAATAGTACAGACCCAAACTAAATGAACTGAATGCCTGAATATACAGTCCACTTCCTTTTCCTAAAAGACAACTTCAACCTTTATTCCTAAATCCAACTCAGTCTTTTCCAGGAGGAGGGTAAAATGGGGAAAGGAAATCAGCTGGGCCAAGGGGTCTAGAGGTTCCTCTCCGATGACTTAAAGAAGGAGTCTTAGCAAGTTGAACATTAACAATACTCACCCCGAGGGCTAGGAGGCTGGAAGTCAGGAAAGGCTCCCCTGACGATGTCCCAAATGAGCCGAGTCTTGAGAGACTAACTGGAATCAGAAGGGTGGAGAGAAGGTGGGAGGGTGTGATCAAAGTGCATATGAACTTCATAAATTCAGTTTTAGTAAGACCAATCTTAAGTCACATAAAAAATAGAAAAACTGGGCTATACATAGTGAGTTTAGACAGTAATTAGGTCCAGTTTCTTTCACCTTTCATCCTTTTACTTCTGTTAACGAAGTGCAAGCCTTATATGTAGCTACCCCTAAGTGATTGTTTCCTTGATGAAAATCATACACTTTACTCAGAAGTTGTCCCCAATGCTGCTATAGGCCTAATAAGTTATCATAAATGATTCTGCCAAAATTAAATTTTATATAAACAATAAGCATAATTTTAATAAGGTTGTATAAAATTAATATACAAAAAAAGACCTCTGAAGGTGTTGACTATCTAGTAATTCAGGCTCTGTGGGATACAGTGACAGTGCCCTATGAATCTTAGCTAGAACTCAGATCTGTCTCAGGTGAATAAAAACATTGAATGAGTCACCTTGCAATTACACCACCACTTGGAAGCATACTTAAGAGATGAGAACTACAAAGCTCACTCTCTGGAAGATCCTGGATTGGTCTTCTCTCCCTTCCTCCAGTCTGAGGGTCCACAGAGCTCAAATTCTTTACTAATTTCTCATAAGTATCGTTTTTATTATTTTTTCTTAATTTAAAAAGGACTGTCTCCCAGGGCCTCAGTTACTCTGAGTTAGTAATACTTTAAATTTCAGGGATGTAAGAAGCATTAGTTGAGTCTATGTTTTCTACACAGAGAAACTACTTCAGAGAAAGATTTTTTTCATTTCTGAGAAAATGTGTGTACATATCAGGTGTTTATGCTCCCAAACACATACACATGACCAATTATTTGGGGTAATGTTGACCAATCACCATGATCAAGATTCAGCCCAGCTCCCCATGTGCATAAATGGGTACGTCATTGTGACTCAGAAGCCTCACATTTCACCTAAAAATTGTAAGGCTGGACCTCGAGTGGAGTCTAAATTCTCATTAGGATGCATGTTTTGGAGGCAACTGCTTGATCTAAACTGGGCAGTGACTCAACAGTCAGCTGGAAGGGAGAAGGAAGTACTGGGCGAATGCTAAAAGAGGGGGACCCCCCTGAGCAAAGTCCCTCCCCTCCTCCCCGGTGTTTTCTTGTTTTTGTTTCTGGGACTTCTGGTCCCCATCAGATGTTGCCCTTATCCGTCATTTCGCCTTCCCGGGGTGGAGCACAGATTCTCATTTGTTCATCATGTCGAAGCTCCCGCGATGGCCCCGGGGCCGACACCGTGTGCGGCACCTGGCTGTGGAAATTCGAGTTTTTCCACAGCCAACCGAGGAGGCTGAGTCCTGGTTACCACGAAGCCGGGGGACAGGGCCTACCCCCACCCAGCGCCTCGAAGTTCTGGTCGCAGAACCTCGCCACCGGCTCGACCCCCACCTCCAGCCTGGGTGGAGGTCGCGCCGTCCCTCCGCACGTCGGACATTTCTAGGTCACATGGGTGTCCACACACACACACACACACACACACACACTCGCGCACGCGAACGCGGCCATCCTGTGCACGCCTGGCCTCAGAGGGCGGTGACAAACTTACTCCTGGCGAGGCGGCCCGGCCGGGGCGCCGGGGAGAGGCCGGGCCCGGGCTCC